GTTCATGGACGCCTTACTAACTTGGTAACTGCGCGGTCCTGGCCCCCAACCTTCCTTCTCTTGGGTATCGGAGCGGAGCGCGGACAGGTACGAAGTCACCAGAGCGTCGACATCGGATATTGTTTTTACGGAGCGGAAGCGGGATTGCAGAGCGGGCGAATAGTTTTTAAGTGAGCAACCGGTACTGGATACGTTTACTATTCTCGCACCGTTTGTTGTTGACATCTTTCCTTGGTCTAGGAACGCTAGGCATGCGTTTTTGGTGCCGTAGTAGTTTACGTTGATGACTTCCTCCATGGATTCAGGCGTGTTGATGTGGTCGTTGTTGAGGCCGGCATTGTTGATTAGCACGTCGATACTTTTGTCCTCATTGATGGTAGTCTGGATGAAGTGCGAGATGGAGGTGCTGGAGCTGATGTCCAATTTACTGTAGGAAATTTGGTTGGAGTGCGAGGGGTTGATGCTGAGGTCGGTGCCGGAGCGCGATGTTGCGTAGATGTGGAGGGGGCGCGGGTGCTTGGTGTCTGCAAGGAGTTGGACGATGCCGCGGCCGATGCCGCGGTTTGAGCCTGTCACGACGATGGTCAGGGGTTGGGCCATTATTGGTGTAGTGGTGTGGTTGAGGGGAAGCGAATTGTTCTTGTCCTAAAACACACTTGTGAGGAACTATGTTCAAATTGTTCTCTTATATCATATGATTCTATATACATGTTTTTGTAGATTGCCGGTTCCTACTGTTTAGTTCATGAGGGTCGTGACGTCAATTCAAGTCCATGACGTAGCTGCCACTAGTTAATTTCCCCCTAATGCATCTCACCACCTCGTAAACGAATTGCTTCTAATTCTATGGTAAGTCACGTGCCGACTTCGTACTTCCCATTGCACGACACCCCAGCCTGAGTGTCCGCCACTCAAATAGCTAACACTCCTGACAGTGCCTCGAAGGTTGCCTGAGCTGGTCGCTTCAAAGTGTTTCCTCCGTAGTGAACGCTTGCGTGCTTTCATCTGCCATGTCTGGAGAGGTCAGAAAAGCTTTTGTCGTCTTCCTTGGTCTAGGTGACCATCCGTCGAGTCGCAACGGGCTTCAAAAGCTTTCCAACCCCCGCCCTGATGTAAGCTTCTAACTCAGGCCAACCACGGCCAAGTTTTGGCATTATCTGGTTCAAATTGGCGCGTCGAAGACCGGGCAATTCGAGCAGGAGGTTATCCGCCAAATCGCTGGTATTGCCCCCAGGTTGGAGCGAGTCAACAACGCCGCGATACATGGCCGACTTCGCTGTATAGCAAGCACCAGGGCATCCAGTTGCGATCATGGCCTCAGAATAGATCTCGCGATAGCGATCCAGGTGGTATGACATGTAAGGGAAGTTTTCGATGTCATAATTGGGCTGCCAATCGCGGATCAAAAAGTCAGGCAAACACGAATAGCCAACACAACGAGGCACAGCCAAACAGCCGTCCCAATCCAAAATGCCTGTGACATTTCCGGCTTCGTCCACCAGAATGTTTTGCAGATCAAGATCGGGGTGGCGAAGGACTCCGATTCAGCGGCACTATCGTTTCCAGGCTTGGAAGTTGCGATGTCAGTATGTGAAAAGACCATGTCCAAGACTTTACGGATAGCGAGTTTTGTGAGTCCAAGGTCCATATCCGTCCCAGCTGGCATCACCGAAGGCCAGACCTTATCAAGGGCCTCGGTCATGTACTCGCGGCTCGATGCGATTGGTCCGTAGGGATAGACCTGAACATCGCTGCTCAATACCTCAGGCGTCAATTTAAAAGGGCTAGTCCAACGGTAAGTAATGACCCACATGCGGGTATACCTTACGTGCACCATTAGTGAAGCTGGGCATTCCAATCTTGTCAAATTGTAGAACCTGCAGCTGCGACATGCACTTCGCAAGGGAGCGCAACATGTTAGCGCGCTTGAACTCGGTCGCCTCAGTAGCCCAATCAACACTCTCCCAGTTTCGATGGGCTTGACCTTCGAACCAGATCTCATAGGCTGGGACACCTGTGAGTCGCTTCATCAGCATATACGGCGCGCCAATGGTGTTGTCGCAGTCCTCTGAGCTTGCAATGACATCCGGAACTGGAATAGTCGTGTTTTTGCGCAGATATTGCATCAGCATCCGCTCTGAACGAAGATTCTCCGCATCACCGGGTTGCCAGCGGCTCTTCGTTCCGATCGCAGGAATCCTCATGACATAGTGGCGATAATTCTGGTTGTGGTAGGCCTTGAGCATAACGACGTGATGGTACGTTCCCTCGACACGTTTGAGGATTTTGACGTCATCTATATGTAGAGGTGCGCCGTTGTTGATAATTTCGACCAGCAGTTCTTTCAGGTCATCATCGGGGATACTCCTGATGGATTTCCAATCCTGGCGATCCATGAAGCTGTCCGCACTAGCCTTACTGTCAATACTACCAGCCGTGGACAAGCTCTTTTGTCGTCCTGCTCGTTGACAAAGTCGTCATTTTTGTCAGATTCTTCATTGTCATAGTTCTTCATGAGCTTCTTGTCATTGTAGACATCACCACCTCTATCGTCTTCCTCGTCGTATCCTTGGTGTATAGCAATCTTGTTCTGTTTTGCCTCGCTGCAGTTCGAGGGTACTTGGAATCGCCGCAACGGAACAGAATTAGCCAAAATATGACACTGACGGCCAGCCACATCAAATTCTGACGAGAGACCACCAAATCCATAGCTCCTCCGAGGGCTGGAACTCGAACCGCAACTGCTGCCACGGTTGGAGCCTGGGGGAGACAGCGACAGTCCTCCCATCGAGGCTGCGCCGACGTAATAAGACTGGGAAGATCTTCTGTCATTGTCCCACGAGATTCGCAAGCATAGGAGCTGGCGGCTTTTGCTGACAACATGACACGTAGTAGACATACCGGTGACCAGACGAGAGATCGCGCGATACCGACAGTACTGATGTGAGTGCCAGGAGCTGCGTTCGCGACTTTAGTCGCAAACACATTCATCTTGAACGACGCAATGGTACTGATGCTGGCCTTTTGCCAGCTTCCTAGAGTCGATGAGACACGGCTCGGGCTCTGCGTGGATACTCGTGGCGAGTGATACCGATGGGTGCTGGTGTGTGTATCAATAACAGGAGAAGTGACGCTAGGAGGACTCCCGAGGGTGCGTTTCAAGGTTGATAAGAACATCATACTGCTGGTATACCGAAGTATTCGCTGATTGACGAGGATGTGGGTGGAGATTAGGGCTTGGGAGGCCAGAAAGAGGGCGCGCGCAGGTGGTTTGAGGGTTTTATGTAGTTGGGGCTAAGTGCGTTTGCTCTGCATAGTGAACTATGCCGTTCGCAAACGCTATCATATATTTCGATCGCCCAAAAACAGGAACACCTGATGTGAGGACGCACAAGTCACTGATTGCTACCCAGTTCCTTTAAGCTAGGCTCCAGGCCCATCAGTGTTTGCACGATGGGAGAATAGTGCGAACGCACGATGGCCTCACGCCTACCCTCTGCCGTATAACCTTACAACACCTCCACACTCTTCTATACTTGTACCCCCGGTAGTTCGCTACCCTCGCACGCGCCAGGACTTGACCACTGTGCATCTTTCGCCCAGCATGCATGAGCCCTGTGCACACTCCCTCAACCTTACATTATTATACGATCCACGCTGGGGAACCCGGATGGACTGCGTATGTACAGAACTTTATGACAGGCCATCTCAGCTCAAAGCTACACCATTGCAGTACGGGAAATACAATCGCAAAACCTGTCGAGCTTCTTGACTGATCTTTGCACAGCGGTGTGTCAAAAGACAGCTACGAGGAAATGCTTCGACAACCTTGTAAGTCATAGCATCGAAGTGCAACACCACAGCCATTACTGACTTCATGCAGCACTGCGTGCGTCTTTCTCATAGATCATACAGACAGTGGATGGATACTAACAACTCGCTGCAGGCATACTGTGTTGCTCTTCTCAACGATGGAGAAGTCATGGGCACACCACAAATCAGAATATGCGGAACTTTGTACTCGCCAAAGAGTGGAGGTGGATGTGGGACGCACACAATTGCAGAAAACTTTAACAGCTCCGTCAAATTGGCCTTCAAAAACTCGCCTCACCAGATGCCGCCGTTCCTTCCCCCTGTCAGCCAAACTTCGTATTCATGGATCGAGGCGCCGGTAGTCAAAAGCGCGCCCGTGTGGCTGAACAATTCGGCAAATCTGGCCAGATCGTTAAATCGGTGAACGAAGAGCAAAGGGACGTCACACAAGATGCTATTGACGAGCTCAATACTATTGTCAATGCTACCACAGAGATCCAAGAACCCTTAACTGCGGCCACTGAGGAGAATCAGATCTTGATTAGGTACGACAAAGCGTACTACGTAGCACCTTACCTCCCTGAAGGCGAACTGTCGGACATGGCACAAAAAATCTTGACCCGCCTAGCAGGATTGAGTCTCCAGACGAGCCATTTCAGATCGACGCCTGTTTCTGCCGAACCGTTAGTGGAGCTCACAGAAGAGCTAATCCACCAAGAAGACACCGCCGCCGAGGAACGGCGTCGTAGGATGGTCTATTGTACATGCTGACTCGATCAGCCAACTTGCAAGATAGCAGCCACTGCTAGAACTGCTGCAGGTAGGCTTCCATACTAAAAGATCAAAATCATATAATACAGCCATGATCGAGATATTATCGGTCTTGGGTGGTCATGCAGCGCGACAGTATCGCTCTCAATTCTCGCCTTGATGGCCCGGCAGCATATGAGCTACTATACATGTCGAAGAATGACAAGAGGACTAGGGTTGAATGTGACAAGACGTTGACGTGAGATACGGAAGACATCGGCCCTTCCAGCCTAACCCCACCTCCAATCCTTCCGCCCCACCCCCAACCCCACCTCCAATGCCACAAATTTCTCAAGCACTCCTTATCATAGCACTATATAATCTATAAAGTCATGAAAATGATTATCTAATCACAAGCGCAACAATCCGTTGCATCACTCCGCTTGGTGTAGTTGGTTTGTATGTCTACCCCTCACCTCCCACCACTTAACACACCACTAACAATTCCTCAGATCACGTTCGACTGTAATAGCAATTGTTATCGAAAGGTCCCTAGTTCGATTCTGGGAGCGGAGAACCATTTTTTTTTTGCAGGATCTGCGCCCTTCTTGCATCGTAGAAGAAGGTCGGGATGGTGGTGGTGTGCGGGAGAAGTGGTGGTGGTTGGATTTTTGCATGTGCGCGAGGGCTGGCGTGGAATGGGGCATGTTTAATCGGATTCATAGGTGTCACTCACTACTGAGTCTAGTCATCACTAGCAATGCGGAACACCAAGATTGTGCCAGCGAAAGGCTGATCTTTCATGTTATGTTGTGCTCTTGCTACTCTTCAAGTCATACGACATCGGCCTTACCTCAAGCTTATGCGCACACAGTAAACCTAGAAGCTTGCGCGTGCGGAATTTTACAGTGTACCAGTAATTTGGCAAACCGTAGCATGTGTAAGTAAATTCCAGCCTTCGCTATTGATACATTATAAGGAATGCGAGACGAAGGACTCTCTTCACGTTACGTTCAAATATCCCAGCACCTCACTACCAGCTAACGACAGACAAGGGGTGTACGTACGTCCTATATCAAACATCTCGTCGATCACTTCAAAGTAGAATCTTCCTCATCTTCACGGGAGACGAGCAGTGAGCATACACTCGTCCATGATCGAGGCAGTCTAAGATTATACTGAATCAAGCGATTATCGTAGCTCTACTTTCATACTTTAGTCTTGACAGGCAAGTGCAGTAATCCTGCAATTGGACATGCACATGACCGCTATCGCCTGTGATATCGTACCGCGAGTGTCACCGTTCCCAATTTGAAGCAGCTTATACAACAAGCACGTCACTATGTTCCCAGTCGCGCAATTCACCAGCTCAGCCTGCAAAGAAGTACAGAGTAGCAGTTTATTTAGTGTGGCCGGGCGCCGAAGCAAGTATTAGATCTAAGTGCTATAAAGTATTACGAAATTATGTTGTGCCTCGAATATGCAATTGCAGAGAACATCGCCGTCTATTGTCGTTGGTGCTTCGACGACGAAGACTTGGATGGACTCGACTGCGATACCGAAGACTTTGACTGAATGGGTCGCGATGTTGTCTTCACCTTAGCCTTGCTGGTGGTCGAAGTAATCCTGACTTTGCTCGTTGTAGTTCGCAGAGCCGATATTGTCTTCACCTTGGCCCTGACATTGGTACTCGTGGACGTCTTCAGAGCCTTCGATACCGTCTTCGTTGTACTTCCATCCACCACCTTCTTAGACACCACCCCATCCTACGAGTTGAACGTCTTCATCTTACCCACCTTTGCATACGTGTCCGTGCCGAACGTCGAGTTCAGCATCACGCGACCCGAGATACTTCCATCTTCCAGGCGGATCCACGTCTCAATTTCGTTCTGGCCAAGCTTGCCTTCTTCGACCACGATCTGGCGGGCGCCACGCGCCCAGTCGGTGTACCCGCCGTAACCGGAGTGGCGGTTAAAGCAGATGTTGAGGCCGTTGCCGTTGGTGGGCGAGGTATTGGGGAGGGGTTTGGACCACTTCATACACCAGCTGTCGATGTTGTTAGTTGCATTGATTGCAAGGGTGTACTCCTGGGCAGACTCACTCGACGCCGTGATCGTGGCCGGAGAAGACTGCCATGAGCCCCTCCGTCTCGACCAGGGCTTTCATGAACGGAATATCCGCGCTGTTGTAGTTGCAGTTGTTACCAGAGCTGTCGCATTGGTCTCCTTGCTGCCCTATCAACTCTTCGTTTAGACCTGGTTCTTTCGTGGGATCGAGACCGCCGTTTTGTTGGAAAGAGTACGTCGCGTGAACAGGGATATGGACGAAGGCCAGGCTAGGGATGACGCGATTGTGCTGCTGGCGGAACTCGCTGGCCGTCTGGCTGAACCATGCGACGACCTGTCGATGTCAGTAAATTCCTACACGGCAGCCCAGCCGATCTTACCTTCTCATCGACCCAATTGTCCACGCCCACATCGCCCTTACCGGGCTGGAACACACGCCCACCCTTGCTATCAAAGAACCACAGTAGCATCTTCAGCTCATTGCTATCTGTCGAGCTGTACACAGGAATGAAGTAGTTGCTGGTGCCAACTTTGTTCGCTGCTCCCTCTACAGAGTTCGTCGTGAATGATAGTTTCTTCCCATTGGTGCCCTTGATGTCCCACCACATGTGCTCAGACATGGAATGAGTGTCGCACGTCTGTGACGCATCGTGATTGCCAAAAGTAGCTGCGAAAGGCAAGTTGCGGCTGGCAAGTGGGGCGACGATCTGATCGATGAGGGCGTTCGCATTTTCAGTCGCGACCCATTCGCAAGATGTCAGGTCGCCGTTGAGGACGACAAGATCAGGCTTTTCGTTGTCAAGGATCGAGTCCATGACACCGACAGTCTTAACTTCGGCATTGGGTCGGTTGCGCGCAGAGGCAGCTGTAAAGTTTCAGCAGGTTCCTGCGCTCCTGGAGGTCCTGAAGCTACTTACGCTCGCCAAAGTGAAGGTCACTGAATACGGTAATCGACAACTGGCCATCTGCACCGAATTGTATGCCGGGAAAGTTCTGGATTGCAGGCGCACGGGATTGGAGACGTAGATTGACTGCAATTGCAGTAGTTGCAAGCAACAAGGCAAGCAGCATAGTCTTCATGTTGTTGATACCGCAACGGCGTGCTATCTTCGTGGGGTGAGGTCCTGTGGAAAAAGCGAATGTGATTAAGTGAGTGTGGTGATAGAGTAATCGAGAGCCCGATCAGTCGTTGAGTCAATTGCAGTGTCCCCACAGTGAGCGTGCAAGAGCGCTCGGGCGCCGGATGTTGCGTTTGCTGCATATGGTGAAAGTGACCAAGGAAGGTGCGCCACGATCGCGTATGCCCTTGCCTATCGTAAAAGTATCTCACGACCCTAAGTCGTTGCACGAAGCACGAACATCTATATATAATGAACCGGAAAGATAAGTCTAGAGTGTTGTTCAGCATTGCACGCGTGGTCGTAGACTGTCAGCCACCGCGAAGGTCTGACTAGTAGGTCACTGAATATGCAATCGTCATGAGCGAACACATACAACTCACCAAGAACCTCACTCCAAGCCTCGTTCATCACCTCCAGAGAACATCAATAAAGGTCATGTCCTCTGTCAATAACATAGACATCGTTATCACCGGAGACTCAATAATGTCAAAGATGAATCCAAGCAAGTGGCCGCGGAATCGCCGCAAAGAATGCACAATGCTCTCCAGGTATCTTTCCAGCGAGACGCCCGTTTGGTAAACCGAAAAATCCCCTACATAGTCTGCCCTCCAGATTGAGAAGAGCTATAGAAGGTGAGGTTCCGTTTTCTCCAAGGTGAAAGTGACCCAGATGTCACAGCAGCCAGGACCCAGATTGCTCTCTCAGTAGTACCACAGATCAAACTAGATAGCGAAGATATTGGAGGCCCTGACCAAGACCTGTCGCAGGAATTGTACAGCTGAACCATCGTGGGAAGCGGTCACAGCACATGGGAAGAGGACGGGTCCAGAGTCACTTCTCAGTCATGTGGGGATTCGTTAGGTAGTACATCATGAGATAGAGAAAACTTTCGAGAAGAACATCTTGCCAAATTCTCTGATCTTATAATCGACCGCGTAGCAGGTCTCGTGGAATGACTGTGAGGGTAGGTGAAGTCTTGGGAGGGGCGATGCAGGTCCACTGACGCTAACGGCGCGCCCCGCTCCGACATTCCACCGGCGCGTCTCCAGAAAAAAGTTACAGCGGAAGACCGAGGCCGACCTTCACTCTCACCTTCACTCTGACCTTCACCGCCGCAATGAATGCCGACGCGTACCTGCGCAAGCAAGGCTGGAGGGGCTCAGGCCACTCACTCGACTCGACCGACCGCGGCATAAAAAAACCGCTGCTCATCGCCCACAAGCAAGACCAGCTGGGTCTTGGCAAGAAGAAGGCGGCATACACGACCGATGACCAGTGGTGGATGCGCGCGTATGACCAGAGTTTGCAGAGCATTGGTACGGGCAAGGAGGTGAGAGGCTTTCTGGCTGGAGCGACGGTCATGTGATGGGCCAGGCAGCAAGTGGAGCTAATGCCGTGTTTAGAGCACACTCAATCAGATCCGTACCCAAGGTGTCAACCGCGGTGGACTCTACGGCTTCTTCGTAAAGGGCGAAGACATCAAGGGTACAATTGAGGACTCCTCTGCGACCACGACCGACGCCTCCGTTCCGCCCTCGGGTACGAGCACCCCAGCCACTTCAGCATCCGACACCGAAGGCGCATCGACGATGAAGAAGTCTGACAAGAAGCGCAAGCGCGAAGAGACCGAAGCACCGGACCCCAATACAAAGAGCTCAAAGAGCAAAAAGGACGCAAAGTCTGCCAAAAAGGCGGCGAAAAAGGCCACTAAGAACGATGCTGAAGCACAAAACTCCTCATCAGCCAGCCCAGACAGCAAGGCGCAAGCCGCCGTCACTGCAAAGCTCGCCAAGATGAAGCCCGCCGAGAAGGCCGAGTACCAGACGCGCGCGTCTGAGAAAGGTCAGACTCTCGAGGAATACGTCCTCCGTCGCATTCAGAAAAAGGCCGAGAAGCACGCAAAGTACGTCAACCCCCCCTTCGACTCACCCTACTTCTGTATTGACTTGGAAGGTGATCCCAACCTTGCGCATCAACCCAATGCCAACGAGTCCTCTGAGTACTTCAAGCCGCAATCCGATCGCGTTCTTCCACTCGGACTTGTTCCGACGATTTGGGAGCAGCAGATTCTCGATTTCGTGCATCGCAACGACAGGAAGCCAAGGAAGACCCGCAGAATATGCAATCCCCAGACTACCTCAAACGAAGCGGCTACACGAACGCGCACTGCAATTCCTACAGGCGAAAAAGCAGATTTGCTGTCCGTCGCCCAGAACAAATACTACTACATGAGCCCTGCAACGTCAAGGTGCGCAGTGGACAGGTCGGCACCGAAGAGACCTGCGAGCACGAACAAGTCTCCAGAGTAGGTTGCCGCAGACACTCCATCCCGCGACCTGAAGAATCAGACAAAGGCAGATAAGCGAGGTGGTGCTAAGGCCAGACGTCG